CTTAAAACACATGCGTCATCATCGACCCCAAAAATTTTCGGTAAGTTTGATTATTAACTTGATGGATGTATGATGCTTTTTGTGTTTGATCAAACTCTATTTTCGCCTAAAGGGCTGGCGATAATATATCCGGTAGAAATATGTACATTTTCCTGCGCCATCATGATACAAGTTTATAATTTAAACGCGTTTTTTAAACATTGTGGTTTGGATACAAATTATTTTAAACTGCTCAGGCACAGTAAGCAGCGGGAGAGAATTCATTTTGGTTTTGAGACCATGGTGAACTTGAGACGGTTTTGCACAGCGCACTTGAGTTCCGACCCTGAGGTCTTAAAGTGACAGTAGCTACTAATAAAGCTGCTGTCGCCATTTCTGCAATAATGTTAATCAAACATTAGAAATAAAGTTATTTACTGCCCTTGAGTGATTCACTTTTGTAGAATAAATAAGAATGAATGTTGAATTTATAGAGAAAACTATGTATTATTTATTTGATCACTTTATACAATATAATATTATTCAGTGCTTTAAGTTTTTCAAGTAGGTCGATTTCTTATGTGCCTTTGTTCTATTGTTATTTGTGACTCTTGTCATCAGTAAGCTTGAGATTCTTTTCTTAAGCTACTATTATTTTTTGTGATATTGAAATTGGTCACAAGAATTATGAAATTTGAGTGGCATAAAATTTTGATATGATAAAAAATCGTATTAAAAGTAATATAACTTAACTGTGAAGTATATCATAGATGAATAAAACGACTCGTATAATGATAGAACATTTAGCTCATGTAGTTGGTGACCTAAAGTGGTGGTGGGGGGGCCCTGCAGAGCTCATAGCCCCGGGGCCCAGTGAGCTCTTAATGCGGCCCTGAATAGACCATATCAAATATAAAATAGAGATATGCAACAAGCACGTTTAAACAACGACAAACAATAAAATCAAAACCAGCGTTTCAGTTGTTCATTAGTTCAAGTGGCCTTAATGCATGCACGGCTTTTCAAAATTTTACAAAGCGTGTTGAGATTATTTTGAATGAAATATTGAAGTTTATAATTAAGTGTTTTGGCAGACCACGCCGAGTGGCCCTATGCATTTTTCTAAAGTCGGGTTTTATTCGAACTTTTGCTAACGACAAAAACAGTTTATCTGTCGTCTCTGTCTCCGGGAACTGCGCGTCACAAAAATGAACCGAAGCCACTTCAGCTCAGTCACTATAAGAAATCGGCTCTGTCTAAAGCCTTTAAATGTCTAAATATTCTGGCTAATAAATGTTATCTGATTATGTAATCCATATGAAAACGAGAGGTACAGAGGATGTACTCAAACATGTAGCCTGTAAGCGCTTCCCAATGAGAAAATGACAAGGGTGAAAATCTCGCTCTAATGAAATGTAGCAGGCTAAATCGCCCTGAATTAAAATGTAAAAACAGATCAAATAATGTATTTGTCGAAATGTTGCGATATTGTTTCATTTAAGTTCATAATTATTCAATACATGTTATTTAATTTAGCAGCATTACCACAAAGCACCGTGGTTCGATATTTATTTGAATAAAAAAATAAAAAATAAAAAACTTAATTCACAAATTGCATGCCTGGTTGAAAGGATCCAAAGATCCATGTAGACTTTAATATTGAGTTGAACATTTTGTTCATGAAAACAAATTAACATGCGTTTTTTTCAGATTATATTTAGTTTTGCTTGGAAAAAGCTGGCCCAAACCAGTTTTATTTCATCAATTACTGAAATAATGAAATATTTAGTAATAAACTTTTATGATAGAAATATCACTAGGCTACATGTAACTAAATCATTTAATTCCTTCATTATCAACACTGTCTAGAATAGCGATTTAAGTGTGAATTGCGACTTCTCTTTGTGTTAAGTCAGCCTCAGACTCCGATAGCCTGTGGGGGGTTGGAGGGACAGTTCAGTGCTGTATCGAGCGCGCAGGACAATAGGCATAGGTGTTAATGTTCCTCTTTCATATGGAGAGCGAGGGAGACTAAATAAACTTGTTAAAAAGAGATTCAGCGCGAGAGAGGCAAAGAAAAACGCATGTTTTAATTTAATTATGTTGCTTTGGACAATTTTCGTTTTGTAGGCCTACTGTTTTAATTGTTTAATATAGCTGTCATTTCTTTGGCAATACAAATTTAAAATGTCGCAAGAATAAGATTAGCCTAGTGTTTCTTATTTTGCATCGCAAAAGAAATAAACTCTAAACCCGATGCAACCCTGTTTTAAATTAAAAAAACTGTCCCGACACTTTATTTAAACCTTGAAATGTTCGAACTTGGTTTCAAACTTAAGTAATTTTAGTGTTCTTTTACATTACACAATAATTTAGCAGACTAAAGACGAGCTTCTTCATTTTCATTTTCTGATGCAATCGGCTGACAATCTTCCTTCATCAGTTTTTGTCGTTTGTGCAGCGGCTGCGGTTCTACAGGAATGTAGCAAATTTATGTTGTAATAATAATTAAACAAAACTCTTGACTTTAAATAAGTAAACAGTTATAAACAGTTAGCTATTTAAGCATCAAGAAGGTTAAATATAAACGCTGTTGGCCAACATCAGTTAACAACATGTATGCTACATTGAGATTCGATCTCGAGTCGATTGAAGCTCCTCGAAGCTCGTGTTGTTGCGTTAACCACTGAGCTATCGTCTGTACGTCTGTAAATGTTTTTATTGCAATGTTTTACTTTTTCATTATTTATTCAATTTCATTTCAGTAGCCTAATTTCAGTATTGTGATTATGAATTATTTTAACTATACGTTTCACTTGTTGAATTCATCTGCTACCAGCTTTCAATCGCTCTGAATCAGTGCGGTGCGGCAGCAGATTACGCATTAGAGAGAATAAACAAACACTTTTCAGAGTCTATGATTGTAGCGCCTCTTGGCGGTAAAAGGCAGCAAATACACCACACATTTTACCGCCGCGGTGGAACGGCTGATGTGGGCATTGTCATGGCTTGCCTCAACATTTGCGTTTGAATAGCGCGCGTCCTCCGTGGGCGTGTCAGATTAACGCGTAATGAAGTGTAATGAGCTGGGGAAAAAAAATCTGACAGCACTCTCTTTTCGTACAGATTACATAAACTGAGAATATTTGTTTTTTATATAAATTACATCATTGAAAAGAAGAGAATTCAAGCTTCATAAAGAAAAATCTCTCGTGCCTGTATGACAAGTATTTGCAGAGTTAGAGTTAATTTTTCGGACGTGTTTCAGAATGGACTGCACTGACAGAGAGAAGGCAAAACTCGCATCATGTTTATTTTTCTTTATTTGACAAAAAGCACAAAACTTTGTTTTTATTGTGAGTATACAGAAAAATAATAGACAATTAACAAGATCGATTGATGTATAACACTTATATGTACGATCAAAATCAACAGAGTATTTTAAGTCTATTTTTCTGCTATGTGAAAAAAAAACGGCAAAACGCGCGGGCGCGTTTCTGGTCCCCAGAGGGTTAATAAACTGATAAACTTTATATCCGTAAAACGACTCAATGAGCTGTCATAAAGTACGCGCTCTCACTTTCATTTCTGCCGTGATCAGTAACGGAAGGCCTATCACTCCGGAGAGTGTAAGCTGGGTCACAAACTGTTGGTACTGATCCATTCTCGAGTAACAACGAGAGTAAATGAAGACTGCTATATGTTCATTCTTACATCCAACAACAAAACACCTCAATAACTTTAGAAGACATTCTAGTCTACAGCTGCTCCAGCGTAGAAAAAATGCCCTTTAAATAAAATATATTTTTTTATTTGAGCTTTTTATGCTCAAACAGCAACATTACAGACTAACTAAAAAGTGAAAATGCATAATAGGACCCCTTTAAAGATTTGAAGTAGGCCCACACTACAAGTGCACATTCAGTACAATTAAGCACACTTCTTTTTCACATTGGTGTACAGTCATGAATGACACCTCAAATCTTCTGTTTTGTTAAGGAGAGGTGGATAGTGGTAATGATGGTAAATACCATATTTAATTAATGTATTTTAGAGTAACATTTATGTATCATATGAAAATGGTATCAAGGTATGGAAACAATCAGATATTTGTTCATGGCATGTCTGTCTCAGTACTTTTAAAGGATTGGTTCACTTCAGAATTAAAATTTCCTGATAATTTACTCACCCCCATGTCATCCATATAGTGGACTTCAATGGCAACCAATGGGTTGAAGGTCCAAATTGCAGTTTCAATGTAGCGTCAAAGGGCTCTACACAATCCCAGCAATGGAATAAGGGTCTTATCTAGAGAAACGATCGGTCATTTTCTAAAAAATAAATTAAAATGTATATACTTTTTAACCACAAATGCTTATCTTTCAGAACTATGCGATACACCACGCATTATGTAATCACGTTGGAAAGGTCAATAGCAACGTAGACGAAAGTACCATCCAATATTTACAAAGTGAACGTGCAAAGACTAAGTCAAATGCCCCTTTTTAAAAAAAAGAAAGGTAAAACAACGATGTTGGACGATTTTGAACTTGGAGGTGAAAATTATATGGGAGTTTTTTGCCTTACCGCGGTACTTTCTGACCTTTTCAACGTGATTACGTAATGCGGGGCGCATCGCAGAGTTCTGAAAGATGAGCATTTGTGGCTAAAAAAGAAATATTTCAGTGGCTGAAAATCACAGATTGTTTCTCTAGATAAGACCCGTATTCCTTGGCTGTGATTGTGTAGAGCCCTTGAGCCCTTTGAACCTGCATTGAAACCGCAATTTGGACCTTCAACCCATTTGTTGCAATTGAAGTCCACTATATGGAGAAAAATCCTGGAATGTTTTCCTCAAAAATCTTAATTTCTTTACGACTGAAGAAAGAAAGACATAAACATCTTGGATGACATGGGGGTGGGTAAATTATCAGGAAATTTTAATGCTGAAGTGAAATAGTCCTTTAAATGTAAGGCTGTCGTCATGATTTGTTTTGTGATGTTATCTGTTCTCATTACAGAAATTAGAAGAATTCACAGCTTTTCAGGTATGTGTAGGAATAATTGGTAACACTTTACAATAAGGTCCAATTAGTTAACTTTAATGCTTTAACTAACATTAACTAACAATGGACAATACATTTGTTGCGGTATTTATTAATTTTTGTTAACGTTCGTTAATAAAAAATACAACTGTTTGTTTGTGTCAGCTCAGGTCCATTCAACTTTTGATTTAAATTATGTATTAGTAAATGTTGAAGTTAACATGATTAATAAATGCTTTAAAAGTATTGTTGATTGTTAGTTCATGTTAATGCAGTTAACTAATGTTAACAATTGAAATGAAGCTCAAACATCAAGTATCTGAGAATCTTGTCTTTGCTCAGTGGACGTGACTCTGGATGCAGAAACAGCACATCCACACTTAGAGGTGACTAGAGACGGCACAGTGGTCAGAGACACTGGAAAAAGCCATGATATCCCAGGCAGTCCACAACAGTTTGACTTGGTTGGAGGAGTCCTGGGAAAGCCTCGCATCACGTCGGGAAGAGCTTTCTGGGTCGTGGAGGTGGGGAAGAAGGTGGGCTGGGAACTCGGGGTGATGAGAGAAGGCGCAAACAGGAAAGGAAAAGTCTCCTACAAACCCAGCGAGGGATACTGGTCCATCGTGCTCTGCGGTCAAAACATGTATGGAGCTTTTGAAGACCCTCCAGTCCTGCTGAATCTCAACACCAAACCCCAGAAGCTGGGAGTGTTTGTGGACTGTGAGGAGGCTCTGGTCTCCTTCTATGATATGGTGGCTCGTTCACATATTTACACATTCACTAAGTGTAGCTTTCATGGTGCAATCCGTCCATACTTTAATCCTCATCCCAACAAAGACGGAACCAACTCAAGTCCATTGGTCATTTGTGCTGTCAATCAAACTGATGTCTCTGTTTGAGAGAAAGGGCAAATCTTGATTTTGAAACAAAGAAGGATCAGAAAGTTTATATACTATATATATATATATATATATATATATATATATTTATTTCATTGACACTATTGCTAGTAGTATGGTTATCTATCTATCTATCTATCTATCTACAGTATATCTATCTATCTATCTACAGTATGTATATCTATCTATCTATCTATCTATCTATCTATCTATCTATCTATCTATCTATCTATCTATCTATCTATCTATCTATATCTATCTATCAACATGTAACTTTAAATGGAAATTAAACTTGCTTTTTGATCTTGTGGGGACCTTTGGGGAAAACAGCTTATAAATCATCCTAATTATGTTTTTTGGGGGGGTTTTTTTGAAAATGAAAAAAATGCAGAAAGTTTTCTCTGGGTGTTGTGTTTAGGGGTAGGGGTAGGGTTAGTGGATAGAATATACAGTCTGTACAGTATGAAAATCATTGTGTCGATGGAAAGTCCCCATGGAAACCCAACATGAATAAAGCATGCTAAATGAATTTTTGAATATATAGAAAACGCAGTATAAAAATCATTCTGTCAATGGAAAGTAAAAAAAAAACAACGTGTGTGTGTGTGTGTGTGTGTGTGTGTGTGTGTGTGTGTGTGTGTGTGTGTGTGTGTGTGTGTGTGTGTGTGTGTGTGTGTGTGTGTGTGTGTGTGTGTGTGTGTGTGTGTGTGTGTGTGTGTTTGTTTTATGCTTTCTGTCCAAATATTGCTATTAATATCTTTTTGATTGTCAGCCAACTGCACAGGATGATTTATACCTTCATTACCTTTGTTCTAAGTTGTACAGTTAACATCAGAGAGGATTGTTTGTTTAACATGATTGCTAAACAGGTATAATTATCATCATGGAATTGACCAATGTTCATGCAAGTAACACTGAAGCTAATTGTTCTCATAACTCATTAATTATGATTACTTTCTCATTTTATGAGAACATTTTATGATTAATAATAATTGAAAGTACTAAGAGGAATATATTTTCTATCCACACATGAACAAATCAAGATATTCACATCTTTCACACTGTGCATTGTTGTCCATGTAAATCGTTCAAAAGCGGGCCAGGTGAGCGAATTACACATGCAAATCCACAGGGAAGTGTTTGCTTTGAGAGTGCTGAATGCTCGCAAGAAACCCAAGATATTCACATCTTTCACACTGTGCATTGTTGTCTATGTAAATCGTGCAAAAGCAGGGCAGGTGAGCAAATTACACATGCAAATCCACAGGGAAGTGTTTGCTTTGAGAGTGCTGAATGTTCCTAAGAAAATTATTACTTTTATTTCCAACTTGAAAATTTGTATTAGTCGCTTTCTGAAATGCGTGCTTGAGTTTAACATTTGAATGAGGAACAATCTGTGTCAAATTTGATAAGACTGCTGAGGAAAAATCCTGACAATGTCTCAAGATGAAAGCATTTGAAATCTCAGCATTTGAGTGCGTCTAAAGACTTCAAGAAGCAAACTACTTTGAGAAATGACGAGTCAGCCAGTCCTTGGCACTCCTAACAGAGTTATTTTGGGTTTTCTGGCAGCCATGCGAGTCGAATGAATGATGGATTCTGTGTAGAAGCTGCATCAGGGTCAGGTTATGTGAGACTGTTCATCATAACAATATTATCACATTCACTTTGTCCCCATGATTTTGCGTAGTTAGATAAACATGTTTTGTTGTTCCTTATCAAAAAAACATGTAACCGTATCTTCACCAACCCTAACCAAACTATCACTAAAATCATTTATCAGCTATAAAGCACACAAACCAAACAATGTCAGCTTCTGTGCCTCCAGCAAGCGCTCTGTGTGAAATTCTATTTATTGTTTGTTTGTCACAAGCATGTATACATATATATATATATATATATATATATATATATATCAAAACAGGAGTATAATGGCGAGCAAAAAGCATTTTGAATTAAAGCTGCTAGCAGCATTTAGCGGTGTTCAAGCAGTTAAGGCCTTTAAGGCCGTTAAGCACAAAAGCATCAAAAGACATTAAGTTTTATGTAGCAAGCATTTAACTATTGACATCATAGATGGAATAGACCATGTTTTAGCATGATTTACCATGATATACCACATTTCAGTGTGATTGTTCATGATTTACTATGTTACAGTGTGATTTACCATAGTTTACTATGATATACTGAGTTCTAGTATGATTCACCATGGTTTACCCTGTTCTTGCATGATTTACCACAATTGAACACATTCTAGTAGCCTATGATGTAATATGATTCTAGCATGCTAGCACACATACACACACACACAAATAAAGACAAATGTTGTTGTTGTGGTTTTCAATGCTATTGGGATGTGTCATTATGAAAATATACTTTAATGGTCTATAAGCATTTCACATAATGTGTTTGTAAACTGTTAATCAGATTATTTTGCATTTATTCAGAAACCTAGGACTACACACACACATTCTGTTGTAGATACAGATATTTGAACTATGTGATGGAAAAAAGAAATGTTTACTGCAATTGTTACAATTAATTAAAGAGGCAAATTTTGTCCGATTTGTCTGAAATTTTTCAATGCTGTTCAGAGTGATATTAGACATGTTCTTGACCTTTTTTAAAGAAGATCTGAGCATTCATTTAAGAGATCAGCATTTACAGTCAATACAGGCAATTTACCATAGGAAATATATGGTTTTAAAGCTTTTTGACAGTTATAGCGCCAACTATGGTCCGATCTCCATGAAACTTTGCATGCTTCTTCACCAAGTTATTACACATATGCTCACCAATTTTTGTGAAGTTCTGAGTTTTTATTTATGATTTATAGGCTTTTGAGTGTATTTTGACACGCCCCCTTTTCTTAATGACCCTGTTACAGTGAACCAAAGGGCAAAGTTCAACATTTTTTTGATAATTATTGATCTAGAGAGTCCAGAGAATTGTCCTAGACTGGTTTGGTTCCGATCGGGTGAAAAACCAGGGACTAGTTTGCGAAAGTAGGTTTTTAACATATTTGTGAATATTTAATGAATGATTTGATTGACAGCAATGGATTTAGAGGCAAAGTTGTTCAACATGAGGAGATCTATCAAATGATATGCATATTATGGGAAACACCACGTGATGTGTGCAACACCACGTGATTACAGAGCCATAAAACTCGTTAGCGCCAACTAGTGGCCGATTTCTTTCAAAACTCTTACAGACCTCTTGGGCCATGAGTCGAACATGCCCATCGAGTTTCGTTCCGATTGGCCTCCGTTAACCTCGTCTCACAGGTGCTCAAATTTCATTGGCCGATGGCGGCCATGTTTTTTGAGATACGCCAATGTCCTCATACACATACATGGGGCCTTGGACCAAGACACTGCATACCAATTTTCAAGTCAATCGGACTAACGGTCACGTGGTCATAGCCCTATTTATGTTTTTTTAATGTTATAGTGCCACTTAGCGGTAGATCGACGCGGTTTTTTTACTGTGACCCCAAACTGTCCTCATACACATGTGTGTCAAGTTTGGTGAAGATATCTTATTTACTTCTGGAGTTATAGCCATTTAAGTAAAATAGGCTCCTCCCACAACGTTTATTTTGCGCCCCCTAGCGACCAGAAATCGAAATTTCGACTTTTTTTCGATAATTATTGATATTCAGACTCCAAAGAACATGTATGCACTGGTTTGGTTCCGATCGGGCGAAAAACCAGGGACTAGTTCGCAAAAGTAGTTTTTTGACAAAATTCAAAATGGTGGAAAAATTTGCATACCGCAAATGAAATCGGAGATATACGTTTTTTAAGTCAGAAGTCCAGCTTTCCAATGATATAAGACACTTGAGTCTACGACATACGGTCTAGGAGTTATGATCACTTTCGCGCTTTTGTTGCTATAGCGCCACCTATGGGCCAATCAGGCTCATACTCTCTCAACCTCTCCTCGATTTCTGTGCTACCTTAATCCCAAATATTAAGTCTCTAGCACTTACGGTTTGGGCTGTACGATGCGTTTTAGCGGAGAATAATAATAATACAAATCAGTACAAATACAATAGGTTTTCAGCACTTCGTGCTTGAACACCTAATAATGTGTCCCTCCCTGCGCTCGCTACATTACGAGTGGAGATACATGCAATTTATGTGTTTGTTTGGGAGTGGAGCATGTATGTCAGCTTTCGTGGGGGCTGACAGTGTTCATTTATAAAATTTCCCAACGTGTAAAGAAGCATGCAGGAGCATCTGGAGTTTTTAGCTCTGCTCCTGTTGGCTTTCTTCTCAAGGGAAGAAAGTCTTATGGAAGTGACTCGGATCTCGTGTTTGCCGAGGCAACACCTAGAATACCAGTCTGCAATAAAGAATCTGGTGGCTCGGATCTCGCGTTTGCTGATGCAATGGTTAGATTAGATAGAAACAATATTTTTATAATGTGGTGGGAACTGAGAAGATGGGAGTTTCCCTTTCTCTCTTGTTCCTGTGATCGAGTGCAAACTAATTATGTGTGTTTGCAAGCTATGATGTATGATTCTTTTTGTATATTTCTTGGCTGCATTTCATTTTGAGATATTAAATGGAACATGTGTCTGGCTTTGAGAAATTAGATGGTTTGGATGAAAGGCTGAAAATAGTATTGTCACGGTATACAAATCCATTTGCTTCCTTCTCGTCTCGTGTTATTGTTGTTGCATGAAAGCACGTGTGTGGTGGGCGTGAGTGAGTGTGTGTCATTCCTTGATCCGCTCCAGCTGATCATCATCTCATCACCAGCTGCAGCCGATCTCATTCACTATTTATGCTCACAGTGTTCTCATCTCCATTGTCAGATCGTTGTTGGATGTGTCCGTGTTCCAGTCTTGTGTTCCTGAGTCTCTCGTCGTGTGTACCTGTGGATTTCGTCTTGTTCGTGGATTATCGTCGGTTGGGGATTATCACCGCTTGTGGATCGTTTCTCATCTGTCTTCACTGCACCACTTGGGATTCACCACGCTGACCATCGACGTCCCTGTGTCATCCTCCACGCCCGTGTCTTTCTGTTTGGACTT